AGAGGTAGTCTTAGAACTTGTGATTAATTTTGTATTGGTGTTGAAAAGAAAAAAAAACCATATTTGTGAACCTATTGATCTAATGGTGAGGCCTATTATGGCTTTTCTCTTCATTTGCTCTTTCTACAAGGTGGCTGATTTCTTTCTTTTTCTGGAATAAAATTTTTAAGCTTATTTTCCCATCAAACGTGTGCAAGTTATTTACCCTTTTTCTGTTTGAATGGAGTATATGAAGATTGAATATTTCTAGGACTCAAGAGGACCTCCGCAAAGAAGAAGCCCAGGGTACGCTAAAGCGCATAACGGAACTCGTGAATGAGACGCTTTCTAGTGATGGAATGACAGGTGTGTTGCCTTTGTCCGAGGAAGATGTACTCGTTGCCATTGACAATGGAAAATCTGAAGGAGGTCCTCGTGGTCAGCACTGGGTATTGGATCCTATTGATGGTACCAAAGGGTGAGTTTGTAGATTTTCTTGGCTTGATGTAATTGCAAAAGATTTAGTTTTATTGGGTTTTGGTAGATAGAGTGCTGAATTTCTTGAAGTGGCAAAAAGTAATTCATTTAGTCAACTCCAAGTTTATTAATAATAAGGCTTAGCTATGGAAGGTCATACATGACTTGCAGGCATGCTGGGTAACTTATTCCAAAATCAGAGTCTGTTCCCCTTAACTATTTTGTACTACCAACCTACTAAGACAAGGAGCAGCACATTCTTGACCCAATTTAGGCATTTATGAACGCGTTTGGAGTCGTTTTTTAATTTTGAATTATAAGTCATATGGTCTGAGAGATCCTTTGATAACTGTCAAGATAAAAGTGAAAAATGGTAGAATATTAGATAAGATTTAAACGAGCTCTCTCCACTCCTCTTGTGCGCACATACGTGCACGTGCAACTATATGGTTTGAGGGCATAATGTTGGACATATATAATTCTTGTGAGTCCATTGATGGCATTGAATGCTTATGCATGCAAGTGCAGATTTCTAAGGGGTGATCAATATGCCATTGCATTAGCATTGCTAGATGAAGGTAAAGTTGTGCTGGGAGTGTTGGCCTGCCCAAATCTTCCTTTAGCATCTGTTGTCATCCATAATCAGCACATTTCTAAAGATGAAGTTGGTTGTCTTTTTTTTGCCCAAGTTGGTACTGGAACTTATATGCAGAGTCTAGATGGCTCCAAGGCAACAAAGGTTTCTGTCTTCTTGCCACAAATAGTTTTAACAAATACTTCAACCAGACATTGAAATCCGATTTTCCTGTTGTCTTTCAGTTACATGTTTGTGCAACTGAAAACCTTGAAGAAGCATCATTCTTCTAATCTTATGAAGCGGCACATTCGATGCACGACTTATCTAGCTTGATAGCCAAGGCACCCTCTCTCTCTCTCTCTCTCTNTTTTTCCAATTATAGTTTAAATGCTTGCCCCCCCCCCCCCCAACCCCCCCTCCCTTCTCTGTTGATGTGTATGTGCTCGAATATTTTTGCAAAAAGCTTGTAATTTTGTGTTTGCTGATAGAAACTCGGTGTTAAAGCACCACCTGTTAGAATAGACAGCCAAGCAAAGTACGGGGCGTTGTCTAGAGGAGATGGAGCAATATATCTGCGTTTCCCTCACAAGGGCTACCGTGAAAAGATATGGGACCATGCAGCTGGATACATGGTTGTTGCAGGTTGATGAAATCTTCCAATCATTTTACTTGTTAGAAGAATCATATCATTGTTCTCAAATTTGTTTATCTGCAGTAACAACTGATCTCCTACTAATAACTTGCATATGTTACGGTAGTTTAGAATTGAATAAGGAATATTGTAAATTTCAAAAGTAAGACCATTTAGTTGCTACAGAGACTAGCAAATTATACAAACTGCTATGGGAAGAATCATTTATCCATCATCCAGATGGTATAGTTAGACTGAGACTGAGCTAACTGGATATGGTTCCAGTTTTAGAAGCATGCGCATATTTTTTTTTTTCCCTTGCATCAATGGTTTATTGTGGTTGTACATGTTTTCCCCTATTAGTTACTTCACATTATGAATGCAAAACGATCTCAATTTATATGCTAAATAAACAAACTTCTGATTTTATTAAATAGATTTGTAAGAATAAGGATACACCACCTACATGATCTGCGATAATTTCTGCTAATGTTCATGAGTCTGGTTTTGCGGAAGCTGGAGGTGTGGCCACAGACGCTGCTGTAAATCCTTTGAACTTCTCGAGGGGAAGATATCTTGGCTTGGACACAGGCATAATAGTTACAAATCAGAAGTTAATGCCGGCTCTCTTGAAGGCCGTTCAGAAGTCTGTAAAGGAGAAAGCTTTGCCCTTGTGATTTTAGTTATAATCAAGGTGTTAACCGGTCAATAATATATGTAGCGCGAATGGGTATGTTTCTTGCTTTGTTTTACAGTTGTAACTGAGGGCATATTTTGCTTGACTATTGTACCTATTTCTTTCAATTAACAAAAGTCTATTTTTGAATAGCAATTGATGTTCCTGAATAGTTGAAAATCAACTCAGTCATTAAATGTTCTCCTTTCTCGTATCGTCAATGAAGAATCTTGACACTTGAAACTGTTCTGATTTGCATTCTTTTGCAATTTATACATCTAAATTCCATCTGCTATACTCTTGTATGTCTGGTAAAAAATAAAGAAAATTGAATAACGTTGAATAGTTTTAAATAAGAAATTGAAACTAAAATCCTATTTATGCACTTGTGCTGCTATAAGATAGCTGCAAGTATACAAAAACTGAACCAGGGTTGACAAACTTTACAGGTTTTTGGCAGATTGTGTCATAATCATTATGTGATCTTTGTAAACTCAGTCATGTTATTGAATAAAATACACCTAATGTGGTAAATTTGAATGAATGTCATGAGAAGAATATTTTAATATTGTGCAGTCTTTAAATAAATTTGGGCAATTGAACACTAGGCTTGTGCTGGGACAGAGGCTGGGGTTTGGGTAAAATAGATTTGAAGGCTAGACTTAAGTATGAAAAAAATTCTTTCTACAATTCATTTTGCATCTGAGCTCAAGGCTACCCAAAAAAATGCCCCTATATCTGCCCTGATTATAGGTGGTAGTATACAAGAAATTGATAATCTCAAACCTGTAAAACAAATCATTGGGATAATGACTAGGATATGGTGAATGGTCTTTAAAAACTATCACAAGGGAATATGTGGACAAAGTGTTGGACAGATTCATCACAAATGAAGCATAACTTGTGATTATTCCTTTCGTTAGTCACTTCATCCTATTCAAAGAGCAATCATCTTGACAGAGCATGAGAGATCCTACATGAATAAAGTATCATGTACATATGTTATTAGTAGCTTTATGTATACTATGATGTATATAATATCAAATATTGTACTTGTAGTGGGACTTGTTAGCAAATATATGAGTAATTCAGGGAAGCAGCATTTGGAGAAAATAAAGTGAAATTTTAGTTATTTGAGAGTACTATAGACCCAGCTTGTGTTTCAGAGGTTTAGACTCGAGTTTATAAGGTTATATTGATATTGACATTGACATTGACATTGACATTGACAACAGGAAGAATACTCGCTATGTGTTCACTTCACGTGGTAAATTAGTTAGTTGGGTCTCAAGTTAGAGAAGATTGTTGCTCTTTCCACTAATGAGGCGTGATATGTTGTGGTGACAAAAACTAGCAAATAAATTATATGTTTACAATATTTCTTGAAAGAACGGAATCAGAAACGTTGACTTTTATCCTTTTCTTCTGTTTATTATACGTATATATATATTATGGAAAGTGAAAATAGGTTCACGGGCTGCTGCTAATGAGAAAGCGTTGAAAGACAGTGGGCCCCTTACAGCTTTATAGTGTAAAAAATCAACTATGTCACGGATGATTGAACCGATTCTTTTAATTAATTTAAAAGTTGTACTTAAAAATGAATTTTATTTTGATAGTTAAGCACATTGTTATGTGAAATTTCTTTATTATTTGTTTTTAGCTACCATTTCAAAGTTATTAGAGTCTGTTTGATTGAAATAATGAAATTTGGGTGAAAAAAAAATGAATTTCAGGGAATTGAATTGTCTAAAACTTATTTTAATGAGAATTGTCAATTAATTGTGCTTGATTGATATAATTTTTCATCTAAAAAATATTGAAATTTTGGATCTTTTGGTGTTCGTTTGACTTTGTTTTTCATGGAAATCATCAATTAAAGGAAAAAAAAAATTACAATTAGGGATAGAATTTATTTCCATTGTCCAAAAAAAAAAAAAAGTTGAAAAACAATTTTCCCACCAAATGTTGGAATTTTGTATTGGAAA